TGATTCAAAACAATCTTATTAAAAATCAAAACCCTGCAGAGGATACATCAGTATATTCATGATTAACAACTCAAAAAATTCATTTGGTCCGACAATTCATTATTTTGTTCAATGTATTCAAATGTGGTTTCCTGATTATAACCAAATAGTAGTTTTTCAAAGCATAGCTTAACTTATTAGGCCCCGACGCGTTTCGCCATGGGCTTCATCAGGGGACCCATTCAGGATGAATCTATTAATAAGAAGATTTTTCTTCATTTATATGTACATTGTATCTGACATTCATTGATGCATACGTTTAGATCAATTGGTTATATATACTAATATTCCTAAGTATGATCCCATCTGGGTCAATTAACTATGGAGTTTGTATATTCCACACAAGTGTAATAGATTAGGTGAATGGCTTGACATATGAGTGATTCTATGTGCCTCAAAGAGTATAAATCCTATCAGTGATCATTATAAATAGGTGATATATAAAGCTACCTCAGCCCCTGTGTTTCCTTGACCCATAGTACCTGATATTTGACCTATTGATAATTTGGCTCTATCCCCATATTTACCCAGTCAGTTGAATGCATAAGTATATCCCATTGTCCTTACCTCTCAGATCGATATTTATGGTTCGTGTGATTGCTGCTTTCACTCTGGAGTGCAGAAAAACTACTAATTGGTTATAATCATGAAACCACGTTTGAATACATTGAACAAAATAATGAATTGTCGGACCAAATGAATTTTTAGAGTTGTTAATCATGAATATACCGATGTATCCTCTGCAGGGTTTTGATTTTTAATAAGATTGTGTTGAATCATGTATGCAATTAATCAATTATGTATTAAAATTTGTATATTTCTTTAAAAAATATCTCTCTTGGACGGTCATTTACACCCCTCCAGAAACCCTTACAGGCGCAGACGAGAGACCAAAGGGGAGCGCTTAGTATTGGTAGTGAGCAATCCCCTGATGGTGAACCTTTTGGGACTGTGCTCTGATTGGGATGTGAAGGTAGGCATCTTTTAAGTCTACAGTGGCCATGTACACGTTGGGGGAGAGGAAGTTCCTCACCGTGTAGATTGACTCCATACGGAATCGTTTGTAGCGAACTTCCTTGTTTAGTGGATTCAAGTTTAAAATGAGTCTGGGCTTCCCTGATGGCTTCTTTCTCACAAACAGATGAGAATAACACCCCAACCCTAGTTAGTCTTCTGGTACGGGGCAGATCACCCCCTGATCCAGAAGACCTTGCAATACAAGAATCACCTGGGCTTTCAGTGGATTGCCCGAAAGCTGTGTGATGAAGAATCTTGCAGGGGCTGCACTCACCAGCTCTATTCTGTAGCCCCAATGAATTAAGTCTAGAATAAAGCCGTTGCTCGTGACCTCTTGCCACTGAGGGAGGAACTCCTTGAGTCTTTCCCCCCACTGAGGCCGGACAGTCATTGCGGTTTTGTCTGGGGTTGGTTGGTGGAAAACAGCAACCCCCCCCCTTCCCTTTGTTGAAAGTCCTTTTTCCCCCTTTTATTCGACTGAAGTCGCTGACCCCGAAAAAACTTTCTGGGTTTTGTTTGTTTGAAAGGGGGAACCCCTTCTTGTCCGAGGACCTGTCCAAGACAGCCTCCAATTCCTGACCGAATAGTAATCCCCCTTTGAAGGGCAGACCACACAGCTTGTTCTTCGAAGCAAAGTCACCTGCCCAGGTCTTCAACTACAGAGCCTGACGGGCCGAGTTGCTAGGGCCGAGGTACGAGCTGAAAACTTGATGGCCTCAAGTTTTACCTGATGCCAACTGCTTTGGACAGGCCCTGAAAGTATTCGGTGACCATTCCTGCATCGGCACCAGATTCCAACAGGGAGTGAAGCTGAGCTAGCCAAACGTCTAGCATCCTGGAAATGCAAGTAGTTGCCAAGGCTGGTTTAAACCCCGCTGCTGCCTCCCAAGCTTTTTTTTTAGTAGGGAATTTGCTTTTTTGTCCATGGGCTCCTTCAGAGCACCCATGTCTTCAAAAGACAGGTCTGATTTTTTTTTTTTGAGATTTTGGAAAGAGGCGTCCAACTTGGGGCATTTCTCCCAAATCCCGCAGTCTTCCTCGCTAAAAGGAAACCTCCTTTTGAGGAAAATGGAGCTTCCTCTCAAGGTCCGCCCACTCCGCTAAGATTACGTCCTTTAGAGACTGGTGAACCAGGAAAGTCCGCCCTTTCTTTGACTGAAGGCCTTTATAAAGCACCAAAAGTTCGGCTTGCTCCTCCTTGATCCCCAGAGTTTCGCACACAGCCTTGAGTAACTCATTGGTGTCTGATGCCAGAAAAATATATCTGGAAGCTTTTAGCTCCCCTTCTTCCGTGGACTCCTCTCCGTCCTCAGTCGCAACCTGCGATTTGACAGTGTCTAGGCTGGCACGAACT